GTAGCCGTTGATCAACGATCGGTTTATACGGCAATTTTGATTAAAGCACGTTCCGTACAGGATTATATTGGGGCACGTTGATTTGCTAGTTCTTATCCAATCAACGCTAGTGTATACCTCAAGAAGACTCTAGAATCTCATGTAAAAACCATAAATGTACTAATGTTTCTTTTTTGGGATTCCTACTTCCATTCAACCTTTTTATGTGGAGTATAATTACGTCCCTGTCCAACCGTGTTCTGAGTTGTGACTTGTCCAGTGAAGTAGTGTCTAAGAATACTAAGCAATAGTAGCTAGGTCGTAATAACAGAAAGTATAAGTTTCATAAAACCAGAATCTAGTTCATAAACACTGATGGGGTGTGAGGATAAGGCTAAAGTTATAGGAAACGGGCAGGTAGTGGTGAAAGAAGGATATCGAGTTAGTTAGACGTATGAAGGGGATTACCAATTTTCAGTTTTCTATTCCATAGGAGGATACATCTTGAAGTACATGGGACAGAAACTGAATTAGCAATAGTCTTGAGGGACTAAGAGGGCGACCGCAACGCCCGTAGAACAACTTCAGACCGGTTTTATGTGGACTGTCTGTGTGAAGTTTGTAACGTGCTATTTCTATCCTTCAAATGACCATGCCACCTGAAATCTGTGGTGTAAGATGAAGTGTGATAATCCTAGGGTTGACCTTTTGTTGTGAGAAATCAGGATCACTATAAATTCTGGTCATCTACGGGTAACACCTTGCTTTGATCGCACCTTCGTACAGTCAGTGATACAACTTAGCCCTCAGACCTTGAGCTCCTGTGTTTAGTCTACCATTTTCCAATATAGCTCGGTTGGGTGCCGATATTCTGTACCAGTGTTTTACAAACCACAAAAATGATCTGCATATTTTTCTCAGCATCTATCGTAAGAAGCTCGAAATTTGTGTGTGATAATCTAGTCTGAACTAAATTGTAAAGAAGAAAAGCTATTCAGTTTTAGATGAGATATAGGGACTTCTATTTTTCGCAGTGAAGTTTGTACAGGTTTTGTTTAGCGTATTTCAGTTTTTTACTCACTGAAATACAACAGACAAATCTCTTATAATTTCCGTAACCGATATTCCAAACTACTGTTCATGAGCAGTAGAACTTAAGGCAGAATTTATGACTAAACTGTTCTTTACAGATGGTTCTTTCTGGATAAGTGTTAAAGATCTTACATTAGTGAAATATGCTCCCAACATTCGCCTGTTCCGATGCTTATTAACAAGCACGTATATGTAGAATGAACAATCCAAAAAAATAAGACGAAGATTCTTGAAAAGAACCTTGAATACAACTTCACTGCCCCCAAATTCCCTGGTATGGCAGAGAGTGGGTGGGTTCGCCCTCCCTCTCGAAATACTCTCACACGGCCACGCGTATATAGCCTCTGCCAGAGAAGTCCTACTCACTGCCTTCTCGTGGCGGGGGTGTTATTTACAAAAATGAGAGGACGAAAAGCGAATGTCCGGCGCTATAAACGAATCCCAAATCAATGGTACACATGGGCTCCAGTATCCTGCGGGAACAAATGGCGTATGAACCAATTTTCGGTCACCGGCTTCCATGGGACTGCATCTCCTCACGATGCTCCACTGCCTTGTGAATAAGATCTTCAGGTCAAAGGCTCGGGGTGTGTCCCCCCAAGGAAACCACTTGCTTCGGTCTGGGCACCCGGGCAGTATCACAGCCCACACACAAATATAATGAAAATGTTCTCTGAAAACTCTATTCACGCCGCGATTTACCGTCAGACAATTCACATTATTATTATTATTATTATTATTATTATTATTATTATTATTATTATTATTATTATTATTTACCACGTCATTTATTCCCACTCTGTCTATCCTTATTTTTCGACTTATACAGCAGCTCGTCTATGGTGACAATTCGGCTCTATCTAAACGTTTTCGTGTCACTGCCTGGTTGTATGTCACCACCGAATACGAGTACTGAAGAAGTTTTTCTGAACCACGTGCACCATTCAAACTGGCTGCCTTCAACGTTCGCACACTTATGTAAGTCGGACAACAGATAGGGCTGGCTATGTCTTTGGAAAGTCTTAATATTGACGTTTGTTGTTTATCCGAGACCCGTATTCAAGAATCTGGTGAAGTACTACAAACTCGCTCTCCATCTGTCACTTCAAAAAGCTTGTTTTATGTGCGTTTATCCGTGGACCCTATGGCATCTTCGTCTGATCTTGCTGGCGTTGGTGTCGCACTAAGCGCTAGAGCTGAGGCAGCACTAATCGACTGGATCCCCATTAACATTCGGTTATGTGCTGTTAGATTAGAAAGTTCCATCAAAGTGAGAAGAAATCGGTGTGAGAAACGATGTCTTTTCGTCATCTCCGCCTATGCCCCGACAGATTGCAGCCCGGATGCAATCAAGGACAAGTTCTACTACCAGTTAACTGTTCTTCTCCAGAAAGTGCGTTCGACAGATATTGTAGTACTAGCCGGAGACTTGAATGCTCAGGTCGGGCGTCTAGGCACAGAAGAGAGTCGTTTAGGTGGCCGATGGGGACTTGTTGGTCGCAGGACAGATAATGGGGAACGTCTACTGCGACTGTGCACAGACCACAACCTGTTTCTGGCTAGCACTAACTTTCGGCACAGTCATCGCCGAAATGCTACATGGCGATCAGCTACCGCTGGCGTGGTTGTGTACAAGACTGCCGCTCCTTTTGGAGTACCTATCAGTTCAACTGACCTGCTGCTCCGGCAACATCGGTCAGACTGTCCTGCCCTCCATGGCCGGTGACGACTGATCCACCAAATGAGGCGGAAGTCCGCAAGGAACTCCAACTCTCGAAACGTTACAAATCACCGGGCCCAGACAACTGACCTCCGGCTCTTTTTAAAAATGGTGGTGACTTTCTGACTAAGGGACTGACGACGTTGTTTACAAAGGTCTGGGAAATAGATAGTGTGTCCAACGTCATGGAATGAGTCGATAGTTGTCCCTATCTTTAAAAAGGGTTCACGTCGTTTCTCTGACAACTATCGGAGGATCAGTCTACTTCCGATTGCGTTCAAACTATTGGCTTCCGTTATACTTCGTAGGTTGTTCAAAACCCGAGAAGGATGACTCGCGAGGAGCGGGAAGGTTTTCGCTCTGTTCAAAGAAGGTATTGATCATATCTTCCCCCTCCGCCAAATATAAGAACACCGCCATACTTATCAAAGGCCAACAATCGTAGTGTTTCTTGACATCAGGACTGCCTTCGATTCGTTGGATAGGACTGTTCTCTGGGATTGTCTATAGAAGAAGGGTGTGTCTGAGAAGTTTAATAACATCCTAAAAGCCCTATCCACAAACACCTCAGGCAGAGTGAGGGCATACAACCACCTTTCTCCATTATTCCATTCAAGCAGTGGGGTTGGGCAGGGTTGCCCAATCTAACCATTCCTCTTCAACTTTGCCATCGATGACATTCTAGAAACAGATCTGATGGATGTAAGTAACGGCAGTGTGGATCTGTTACCTGGAGGAACACTTCTGGACCTTGAGTATGCGGATGATATTGTCTTACTGTGCAAGAATGCCCAAGCTATGCAATCCGCAGTTAATCAGTTGGCAATCAGTGTCCGTAGGTATGGTATGTGCTTTGCACCCTCGAAGTGCAAAGTACTTCTACAAGACTGGCAGGATCCTAATCCTGTACCCACTCTGGATGGTGAGCAGATAGAAGTAGTCGAGAAGTTCGTGTATCTGGGTAGCTGCATAAGTGCAGGTGGTGGCGTGAGTGATGAGATCAATGCACGTATAGTGAAAGCCAGAGCGGCTTATGCCAATCTGGGCCATCTTTGGTGCCTTCGTGATGTTAGTCTGACTGTAAAAGGTCGGATGTACAACGCATCGGTGAGAGCAGTTTATCTCTATGCTGGATGACGTTTTAGTGTTCTGAATGGTAACAAACAGACGGATTTGGAAGGGAAGACCGTTGGTATACACAGCAAATGTCTAGGCAAGCTATAAGTTATAGGCCCAAAGAGAGTTAGGTCATGTTGAAAGAAGATAAACAATGAACAAACCAGTCAGTGACTGTAGATTCAAATCATATGCTTGTGAAACCTGGCCCCTCCGAGTTGAGGATGTTAGACGACTCTCTGTGTTCCATTATCGTTGTCTTCGAAGGATTGCTGACATCCAGTGACAATACCATGTTAGTAATGCAGAGGTTCGGCATCGTGTGTTCGGGCACAGAGACGATAATGCAATTGGTGTCACCATCTTGAAACATCGACTTCGGTGGCTTGGACATGTTCCACGAATGTCGTCCCAGAGAATTCCACGTCGTGCATTATTTGCCGACGCTGGACTGGTTGGAAAAAGAGGAGAGGTGGTCAGTGTATGATATGGTGTCGTGGTATGAAAGAAAGCTGCAAAGGGCTAGCTTCTGTTGGACCTTCACGAGTCCCTGGCTGGTGTCCGAGAGATAGTGTAACACATTGGCTAGAGACGTTGTCAGATATGGCTCGGAATAGAAGCCAGTGACGACCTTGCTGTAACCTTGTTTTACTTTCTTCATAAAGTGGTTGCTTCTTCCTTAACTGTAAGATTTCCTCTGATTGTACCTTTTCGTTTCCCCCATTATTGTTTTTTTTTATATAATTCCCTACGTTCCTTACCTTTTTTCCCTTCTCTTCAAATTCTCATTGTTTTGTGTGGCGCATAAATATTTGTTGCCCCCCTGTACCAATATTTATGTGTTCAAATAATAATAATAATAATAATAATAATAATAATAATAATAATAATAATAATAATAATAATAACTTCACTGATCTTCGTCAACCAAAGATGTAAAAAAATTTAAGTCTAGGTGTTCTTACAAACGGAAATATAAGTTTAAATGACATGTGCTTTCACTCTGATTATCAAGTTTAAAAGACAAGAGAAATTGAAACCAATGCAGTGAGAGATTATCTTCAAAGCATGGGGCAAAAAGTGTTGAACTAACCTGAGACGCCAATGAGGCAAGAAGAATAGCCACATCGAGGGACGGACAAAGATCGCCTGGATCAAAAAGGAAAGGTTTCATACAACAATTAGTCAGAAATAAAGAACTTGATTGTCAATTCACCAATACTGCTGAAACGAAATGCAGATTTTTAACTACGAATTACAAAATCTGTTATGCTACTTTAAGAAGCCTATACTGAGAATAATTACACAGGGACTTTCCAAGGATACCAGCGGGTCAAACTTAAACATGGTTTTTATTTTCTATGAAGTAAATAACAAGGCAATCTATTATCAAAAATGTCAACACTAACTGCCGTTCATCAATGGTTTCCTACTATTTAATGTAATTTCGTCATGACACTTACTTCATCTAACTCCTCAGTGGATGGTCCTTCACTAGGTGACTAACTTATCAACAGAAAATGCACTAATGAAACAGTTACATATGGTGAAGATGCTGAAAAAAATATAGCCTACAATAAAAGAAGTTTGGGATGTGGTTCTTCATTTTGAGATGCAAAATGATTCTTCTTGACTGATCTGCGTCAACGCCTGAACTAATGTTACTAGGTCATCTACAACGTAGGACCAGGCCCATATATGCATTGGTCCAAGTTGACAGACCTCATTAGCACATGAAGATGAACACCGAATTTGTAGAACCAGTTACTTCATTGGTAGTAATGTATAAAAAAGATTGTGTATAAGGATATAGTACAGGAAGAAAAAATTAGTTAGTAGAAAGAAAGATATAAAGCAATTTGAATCTCACGGTTTAAGGGAAGACAAAGAGTGTATACACCGACGCCATTGTGAACGATTCTGAGCTGTCACCCCGAGTCTCCAACTATTGGTTACGATAGTCACGTGGAACCCAACCAAGTAGTCTGCATCTACCAACATGACTCAGACCAAAAGTTAGTGACTTCAAGCACTGATGCCACGTTTTGGTTTGACCACCAGTAACTTTCTTCCAACCGTCTCCAACACTAGTCAGTATTGCGCGTCGTGGCAATCAGTGTTCAGGCATAAGCAACACGTGGTCCAACCATCTCAGTCGATGAAGATTTACAACCTCATCAACTGATTAACCGTCATTCCCTAATACCCCGTGTTTAACCTCACTATTACTTACTCGACAATCCCAGCAGATGCGAGCAATCTTTGATCAAATAATAGTAACTTACGAGTATCTTCTACTCTTAATGGCCACGTTTCGCAGCCGTAAAGTAGAACAGAACAAACTACCGCACAATATACTCATCCCTTAATCGATAGACAGATATCTCGCCTTCGCTATAAGTGACGTAAGTTGGAAAAAAAACCAAACGAGCTTACTTAATCCTTGCAGAGATTTCGTCAGACACCAACCCATTAGGGCTGATCAGACTTACAAGATAAGCGAAGTTGTCGACGCGTTCGACTACTTTACTACCTGTCCTTAGTTTAGGTGTTGACGCAGGCTAGTCCTGAAGCAACAACTTGCATTTAGAAGTGGAGAAATGAATCCCAAACATTCTGGCATTGTTGCTCAGTGCTATCAAAAGATTGCATTTTATCAGCGTCTTCATCAAACAGGACTATGTCATCTGCGTATTCTAAGTCGATAAGTGAACCTCCTGGTAGGAGACCAATGCCCGAAAATTCAGTCGACGAGAATGTTATTTCTCGCGGTAGGTCTATGACGACATTACACAAAAATGTGCATAATGAACAGCCTCGCCGAACTTATGATATGGAATGAAGTAGTTGAGCGTGTCGACCACTCTCCCTATCATAGAAGTTTCATAAGCCCTGGTGACGTGTTAACATCTGAAGAAATCTTGTCACGAACTCAGAAAGCTTGTTTGGTTTTTCTCATTGAGTCACTTGTTGTGTATGCCCGATATTCACCTATCAAATTAAAGGATGATTACACTGAGCAGCAATTCACCTGGTTTTACTTTATAGCTGTGAAATTATCCTTTAAAAATAAAGCATATTTTTGGGTTATTAGTGTTTGATTACGGTTGCAATCGGACCAATGCTCGTATATATTGAGACCAACGAGTGAGCAATGTTGAGGTTAGATGTAGAGTACTGGGTGAATAACAGGTTGTTACAGCTGACTTAGTCAATAAATTGTATCCCTAAACATGTTTCCAATTAAAAGGCTGTGCAAACCCAACCTTCAAAAAATTCTCATTTAATTCCAGATAATTTATCTATTGTATTTATGTATATGTGTGCAGTTATCGGTTTTTACACTTTTCCTTCCGCTTTTTTGTGGACAAAACATGTTTAAATACTTTTTGCTGGAAATTCGGTTTGGGCACCCGGGCAGTATCACAGGCCTCACACATATCCAATGAGACCTGTGTGGGGCATATGTATTTGGTGCCTTCTTGTACCGATATCTATGTGTTAAAATAATAATAATAATAATAAATAATATTGAATAAAGCCATTAATAATAAGTAAATGACTTGATAAGCAGTTATGTGCTGAGAAACATAGGCATGTATAACTAGGGTTTACAGCAAACCTTATTAAAATAAAATGGAAGGTATTTCGAAGCTGAATAAAACAATAGGCTATTGATATGTAGTTACAACCCTAAACCTACCAAAACAATTCCCATTCATATTGGATTCGCTCCGATTTAAAATGGTGGATTTAACACTTAAATAGAACAGACGACGAGTTGTAGCTTGTATTAGTTCCTGTTCAACATCTTCAGGGAAGAATTTGGTGTGAAAAAAGAAGCAAAGAGACTTAGAGATATCTTCTGGTTTTTGTGAAACAATCTAAAGGTCAATAGTTGAGGAAATATTAGATCACCTTCTTATCTAATTTAAGCCAGTGAGAGAGTTGCATTCTTCCATTTGGAAAGAAGCTATAAAATTGTAATCCGAAATACCACGTCTCTCTCAAGCCAATTGTACTGCAGACTAGGTCGAAGAGGTATTTTCCTGTGCTTTTAGGCTGGAGCAAAGGTGCTTATTGTAGAAATAAAACATACCGATATGTTAAACTCCAGCTCAGATTCATGTAGTGTTACTCTGATCTTCAAACATTTAGCGTCCGAATTATTCCACTTCATCGAATGCTGAAACCTGCCGTAATATTACCAATCAGTGCTGAATCAACATAACTTTTAGGTACTTGAATAAATTTGTGCTAAAGAACGTAGCGAAATATTCCACCACATAAATATTAAGGAAAGAAGATAAAAGGTGTATTTGAACTTATGGAATTAATTCAGCGCAACATACCATATTGTAACAGTCATGATGGTGTTGACTAGTGTTCCAGATAATAAGCTTATCTAATGAGTAATGGGATTAAATCCATCTTATTCAACTAAGTTAACCCAAAACACAAGTCTTAACCATATTTAGGTCCTTTTACGCAAATATAAGGAATCGAAATACATAGCACAAATCTACAAACGTATCACTAAATACCTTTAGTATGAGTAGTTATGAGCCTATCTTTACAAGCCGATCGTCGATTTTAGAGCTAGTGGAACAAAGAATACATGCGAAAACTCTAGCGGTGTGAAAATCATTCTGATGGGTTAACTCAGAGTTTTTAAAGATGATACACCAGTTTTAGCAGAACAGCTGGTTGCAACGTCTACTAGTCTAGGAGTTGTACAAACCCTATCTAATTGGTCAAGAGCACCGACAGTCCTCGTATCTAAGGAAAGAAAGGAAACACCTTATGATAGCCACAAAGAGATCATTCTGACAAATGAAGAATTCTAAATACTAGTTTTCGTAGTTATTGTCTAACTGGAGTTCAAATGGTTGTGAACGGAATAGAAGCTTTCGCTTAACAGGCTTCCTTGTCTAGTAGCAGGTTGGTTCAAAATGAGAGCATGTCTTACAACACAGCAGTACTCTGAAATTAAAGAATTGTCTGCAATAGTGTTTGTAAGTATAGCTAAAAAATATTTATACATCCTAACCCTTATACCTATTATCAGATGTCCTCAATCACTTAGACTTATTGTAATTATTAATTTACTAGTCAATTTGAAACTTATTGTTCACTGTAACTCTTTAAGGCTTGAGCTTTATGTGACCAACTCATATTTCGTAAAAGTCAAACAACAGACTAAACTCAATCTACTCCTACTATTGTCTAAGAGTTGTTTATAGTCTTCAAGGTCAGTACCGACGTCGGAAGTGCAGTTTATTCGAACCTCTCTTTCAAAGTACCATTAGAGGAAACGCATAAAGTGATGATTATGTTTAGAGAATGAGTTCTAGTTTCATGAACTCTGAAATAAAATTACCTACCTTGGTAATTATAGGCTGAGTATCTTGTAGTCATGACGAAAAACCAGTTCTTTTAAGAAAGCAAAAGGTAATCTAGGTCGTAGGCACCAGTATTTTACTTTTATTAGACATATACAGCATATCTAATATATCTTTTATGAGCTAGTTTTGCAGTAATTATAATAGAAGCACGAGTAATAGTAGAAGTCTGCACGGCTGTTGTCATCTCTTGCGGACATTATTTCACGACCGCTCGCGACACTCTTCAACATGTCCTTTTCACTCGCCCGAATCCCTGGAGAGTGAAAAGATGCTATTGTCAGTCCTATATTTAAGGATGGTCAGAGACATATCGTATCTAACTACCGGCCTGTCAGTCTGACTTGAAAAGAGAATTCGGGTTAGGTTGCTAAGCCACATAGATTCACACAATCTGATGGCTCCCGAGCATTATGGATTTCGTGACGAGCGTTCATGCTTGACTAACTTACTTATTGCAAGAGAGGATTGGACAGCAGCCTTTGATAAAGGTCTGTCTGTCGATGATATATTCATAGATTTTTGCAAAGCATTTGACGAGGTTTCACACTTAGGTCTTACGCAGAAGCTCACAAACTTCGGAATAATAGGCACTGTACGGGAATGGATAGGAAACTTCTTATCTGACTGCAGACAGGGAGTGAGGGTCAATGGGACGCTATCCGATTGGAAGCCGGTCAAGTGGTGTACCCCAATACACCATCTTTGGCCCTCTGCTCTTCCTTCTCTACGTAAATGAGTTACCGCTGTTACTTAGGTCGTCGACATTATTATTTGCGGATGATGTCAAAATCTGGAGAACAATAAGAAGTGAGGCTGATCATCTGGATCTTCAAGCTGACTTAGACAATTTAGTTAGATGGGCTCGAGATCGGGGTTTAGAAATCAATTCTAGGAAGAGTGTGCTATTGCACATCGGTCACGGCAATAGTTACCAGTATACTATTGATAGTAAACCTCTTCCATGCGTTCAAGAACATAAAGACTTAAGAGTAACGATAAGTCATGACCTAAAAACAACTACGCATTGCAACGCAGCCGCTGTCAAAGGTTTTCGTGCGTTGTGGTCACTTCGCCGAGCGTTTAAAGCTTTTGACGAGGAAATGTTTCGAATTTGATATCCCACCTATGTAAGACCATATTAAGAGTACTGTATCCAAGCAGCTAGCCCATGTCTGGTAAAGGATACTAACTAACTTGAGCGTGTCCAGCGTGTCTGAACGAAATTAGTGAAGGGTCTTTCTAAACTCCCTTACGATAAGCGTTTAAAACGCCTAAACCTTTTCCCCTTGTCGCATCGAAAATCTGATGTAGTTTTGATTGATGCTGATTTTTCTAATGATCCTTTGCTCTGCAATAATTTTGAGGAAACCATTTCAGAAGAATCAAATCTTGATGTCATATCAAATATTACTTGTCCTCACAATGCATTTGTTTCTTGTGGGAAACTTGTTCAGTGCGAAGCACGAGTATTAAATGAGCTCGATTCTGATTACAATTCAGATAATTCCATATCAACTGTTGTTTGTCCTTATCATAAATTCACTTCCAATGTTTACTCTAGTCAAATTGAGAAAGATGTTTTAAATGGAGCCACATTATCCATAACTTGGGGATATGAAGATCCGACATTATTTCGTGGGGGAGGATAGTCTGAATGTCTATGGTTGAAATTCTAGGTAGCAGTAGTTTTAGTACTCAACCGACATGATAATCATACACAATCCCAGGAAGCAAGTGAGTCTGTTCCGATTTCGGTTGTTAATTCTAATACTAATGAGTGCATTCTAGATAATACGGAGTCTTTATCCAATACATTGTCGGACAGACACAGTATAAACTTGAAAAAAGACGCACAATTGATTACAGACACTTAGACTCCAATTTAAGCTGTGGCGGATGTGGTGTTTGAATGAACTAATAACTCCTTTGTACTTGTTGAATGCCTGATTTCGAATTCTAAATACAATACATTCGTTCGTGCTTATCTAGTATTTCTTGATCCACTGACGTGATTTCTGGGATTATTAGTTCATACTATAATTCAAATACTTCTAATTATCATAGACAGCCACTCCTATGTCTAGTTTATCTGTTACAGCGATAGAGTTGGTAGTTTTGAATATTTAATTCTGAATCAGACACTGATGAGAGCACCACGTTCCAGTGACAAGTATTAAAAAATGTTTGGTTAGTAAAGCCATGGATCTTAAAACCGAAATTTTATTTAGAAATGACCGTGCATCGGTAAGTAATAAGTTTACAAAAGAAGTATGGAGTGTATGATACCAAGGATGTCCTTATCGATGTTATGTGTTTTAGAGGTGACCAGATTATGGTTTAGTATAGGTGCTTAATCGTATGGATTATGGCTTGAACAAGCTGTAGTGCAAGACGAAACAGGAATTTCTGAAATCCAGAAAGTTGTTTCGATGAGATGAACTTGCTGAAATTGATATGGAGGATAGCTAGGAAAGTCACCTACTTATTGAGGTTGAGTTAATGATGCAGAACCTAGTAGTCCATCGAGAAAGTAACAAAAATTTATATCTTGCAGATTCATTGCATAAAAATTTCGAGTGCAAACGTGGGGCAGGTTGGTTCGTCTCAGTCTGTCTAATATTGGGTCTACGTTTCGTGAAGTGGATTTCGTTGATACAGAAAGTGGGGTTTCGACAACTTACCTATAGGTTTAGCTGATATCACCAGTTCTTGTCTGTGAGCCGTTATAATCATCCCTATGATTAGAAGGGTAAAACCTGGTGTTTGAAGTGTATTTTATTTGGTTGAGCCTTTGTAATATTTTTGGTACTGGTATTAGAAATTGACATTTCTGTACATACTTTTCATAAGGTCTAGACTTTTAAATTCCAAGTGCTTCGAACAGCTTCCACGTTAGGATTAGACGTCTGAACATGCGCTCTACTATTGTGTTGGGAGATATCAGATCAGAATGTTCAAGGTTTATTTCTACATAAGGTATAACACACTGTGCCCAAGAAAGGACCTCACCATTCTGATGGGAGATCTAAACGCCAAAGTCGGAATGGACAACACCGGATATGAAGACATCATGGGACTACATGGACTGGGAGAGAGAAACGAAAACGGGGAAAGATTTGCAAATCTGTGTGCATTCAATAAATTGGTCATAGGCGGTACAACATTTCCACACAAACGTATACACAAAGCTACGTGGATCTCACCGGACCACACCACAGAGAACCAGATAGATCACATTTGCATCAATAAAAAGTTCCGAAGGACAATGGAAGATGTGAAAACCAGGAGAGGAGCGGACATAGCTTCAGATCATCACCTAGTTGTGGCCAAATTGAAACTGAAGCTAAAGAAGAACTGGACAACTGGACAAACAGCACCACAAAGGTTCAATACAGCCTTCCTTCGAGATACTGACAAACTCAATGAATTCAAGGTAGCTCTCAACAACAGGTTCCAAGCCTTACAGGATCTACTGAAGGAAGAAGAAACTATTATGGAGGATAGCTGGAAAGGTATCAAAGAAACATTAACTTCAACGTGTCAAGAGGTTCTGGGCCCCAAGAAACATCATCACAAGGAATGGATCTCTACAGAAACACTGGACAGGATCAAAGAAAGAAAGAACAAGAAGACAGCAATGAACAACAGTCGAACAAGAGCAGAGAAAGTCCAAGCACAAGCAGAGTACATAGAAGCAAACAAGAAAGTGAAGAAGAGCATTAGAGCTGATAAGCAAAAATACGTGGAAGAACTAGCAACGACGGCGAAGAAAGCTGCAAGAGAAGGAAATATGAGACAGCTTTACGATACGACGAAGAAGCTTGCAGGGAAATACAGTAAACCAGAGAGACCAGTCAAAGACAAAGAAGGAAGACCGATCACCGAGATTCAGTAACAGCGGAACAGATGGACAGACTACTTCGAGGAACTCCTGAATAGGCCGGCTCCAATGAATCCACCGGACATCAAAGCAGCACACACAGATCTTCCTATAGATGTCAGTCCACCAACCATGGAAGAAATCATAATGGCCATCAGACAAATCAAGAGTGGGAAAGCAGCAGGACCCGACAACATACCAGCTGAAGTACTGATGTCAGACATCGAAGTAACTACGAACATGCTTCATCTTCTATTCAAGAAGATTTGGGAGGAGGAACAAGTGCCGATGGACTAGAAAGAAGGACACCTCATCAAGATTCCAAAGAAAGGAGATCTGAGCAAGTGTGAAAACTACAGAGGCATTACACTACTGTCAATACCAGGAAAAGTCTTTAACAGAGTGTTACTAAACAGGGTGAAAGACACAGTAGACGCCCAACTTCGAGATCAACAAGCTGGATTCCGTAAGGATCGGTCGTGCACAGACCAAATTGCGACACTACGGATCATCGTCGAACAATCAATTGAATGTAACTCATCACTGTACATCAACTTCATTGATTATGAGAAGACATTTGACAGTGTAGATAGGAGAACGTTATGGAAAATTCTTCGACACTACGGAGTTCCTGAGAAGATTGTCAACATTATCCGGAACTCATACGACGGACTACAGTGCAAAGTAGTGCATGGAGGACAGCTGACAGACGCATTCCAAGTAAGGACCGGAGTAAGACAAGGCTGTCTACTCTCTCCCTTCCTCTTTCTTCTGGTGGTCGACTGGATTATGAAGACTTCGACATCTGAGAGAAACTACGGCATACGATGGACAGCTCGGAACCAATTAGACGACTTGGACTTCGCAGATGACCTAGCCCTCCTATCACATACACACGAACAAATGCAGATAAAGACAGCCAGCATAGCAGCAGTCTCTGCATCAGTAGGCCTCAACATACACAAAGGGAAAACCAAGGTCCTCAAACACAACACGGAGAACAGCAATCCAATCACTCTTGATGGCGAAACTCTGGAAGACGTGGAATCCTTCACATACCTGGGAAGCATCGTCGATAAACAAGGAGGTTCAGATGCAGACGTCAAGGCGAGGATTGGCAAAGCTAGAGCGGCATTCCTTCAACTGAAGAACATATGGAACTCAAAACAACTTTCAACCAATATCAAAGTCAGAATCTTCAATACGAACGTCAAGGCAGTTCTACTGTACGGAGCTGAAACTTGGAGAACTACAACAACCACCATCAAGAAGGTACAGGTATTTATCAATAGCTGTCTACGCATGATACTCAACATCCATTGGCCGGATACCATCAGCAACAGCCTTTTGTGGGAGAGAACCAACCAGCTTCCAGCTGAAGAGGAAATTAGGAAAAGACGATGGAAATGGATAGGACATACATTGAGGAAATCATCAAACTGCATTACGAGACAAGCGCTAACTTGGAATCCTGAAGGGAAGCGGAAAAGAGGAAGGCCAAAGAACACATTACGTCGGGAAATAGAAGCAGATATGAAAAAGATGAATAAGAACTGGAAGGAGCTTGAAAGGATTGCCCAGGACAGGGTTGGATGGAGAATGCTGGTAAGCGGCCTATGCTCCTTCACGAGGAGTAACAGGCGTAAGTAAGTAAGTATAACACACTGATTATCTGAGGTTACTACAGACTTCAGTGACAAGTTAGCATCCTCCCATGATAAAGCAGAGTATTGACTGAAAGACAATGTCAGCCTCACAAGCATATCCTGTTGATAAGGTAGCAGGATTCATTGTAATTGTATATCATTGTCGTTTGAGGTACGCTTTTGAGTAGGCCTTTGACTGGTGGTTTTATCTGAGACTATGTGGGCATTCCTAAACTTTGTAGGTGCCTAAATTAACCAGTTGATCAGCTGCTAATGTGAGACAAGAAAACATTCGCATGGAATATCCTGAAAGTTAGATGCGTTTAGTATCGAAAGCAGAAATTTAAGCGGGATTTTGTTGTAGAAAATCGCGTTATTTCTAGTACTTACTAGCTTAGTAATCTGGCTAGCAATAGAATCAACAACAAATACTGGCTTATCAGTGTTTCCAAGATTAGTGGAAGCCACGCCCCTCGCCAATAGAAGCTAAACTGGTGTTAAAGTCTTCATTTCTTGCTTAGAATGGAGAACCCGCAAGTGGCTCCACTTTAGGGCACATATCACGTAATTGCTCATATACGCTGTTTAATTCACTCTTTATATTATCTATGCTATGGCATCTTAATGTGGAACACGTAAATTAGATAGTGAGTTAACCAGCGGCATATGTAACGTAAGTCTAATCCTAACGTTCTCGGTTGGAAAAGGAGTCGCTAAGCATGGGTAATAACAGAATTGCTATTATTCAAAATATTAAAGCATTTTCGGGCTCGTTTATACGATAAGCGACTCATTTTGATGAGTGTTAATCCTAAAGTTATAGATATAATATGCGATAGGAGTGAATAACTACATAAATTTTATTAGACAGAGTATTATTGTAACGCAAAAACCAAACTTGAAATGTGTTGCGAAAAATTAAACAACAAAATATGGGCCAATGTTAATTTCTATAGAAATAAGGAAGTATGATATTGGATAAGCATTGGAAAGACACAACATGCGGAGTCGAGATACCCGACTTATCCATAACATTCAACTTGGAATTTATTCAGTAAGTCTACATATTTCTGACATTCATTCACATTAGTGGATGGAACAGGAATATCGAGAACATGCACACAATTGCTATGACCATCGTTAACGTTTCAAAACAATGTCATTTGTGAAAAGAAAAATTTACTAATCTAATATAGTATTATTTATTTGACGTTGATGGAATGAACAAAAAGTATTCGTTAATGAATTCAAACTTGATTCACTTTGACTTTGACAACATGTGCGGCAAACTGATCTAGCGCAGTTTAAACTCTAAAATCGTAATAAAAAAGAAACTCATTTAGCTTCGGAGACATTTCAAAATACAAGAATAAAAAGTATGATTGTGAATATACAACACCACTAACATGATGAGACGAGCACAACTAAGCATTCCCCTTAAAGTTCAATACGCACTACGAATGCAGTCCAATAGGCCTGTTAACATCTAATTACATGAGATCAACATTCCAACATCAAAAGCAGATATGCAACAGTGCGTTTGCGGAACACGTTTCAGAATAACATACAACCGTTATCAATTTTTCATCAGGTATTTTGAAAAAAACCAGTATATTTTTTTAATGTAAGCAATAGTAGTATTAAATGTGTGTGGTCGGATTTTTATAGAATAGCCTTTCTCAGCGTTCGAAAAAATTATCCGAATCAACTGTCTCCAAAGAGCATGAGAAAACTCAATACTCTCAGTAAACTCGCAAATAATTTCTAAAAGCAGAAGTCTATCACTAACATGACTTACTTTCCGATTCTTGTTGCAAATAAAACATATGAGCTTTCCTTCAATGATTGCTAACTTCTTAGCAAGTTTAATCTCTTTCTTTGAAGCTTTTCGACTACGTCTTTGCTCCATCAACATAATTTTCTTAGCAGATACATCGCTATCAACCCTGTGAAAATCCGATCCATCAATTGCTTGCATCGAGATTTCAACTTTCGTTTGTTCTGGAAATGTAATTGGTCGCTCATAAGGTTGACATAACCAGTGAGGATGGGGTAATTCGGTTGAACTGTTTCCCACACAAGACTATACGAACAAAACCGAAAAATAAGGCGAAATTAATTATGCTCGAAAGGATTAATGTGTACATATCGCTGTCAAAATGAATATAAAGCTAGTCGAAAATAGTATATGAACTTCTTATTGCTAAAAGAGTACGTATTTTCAACTTGAATTCGTAAAGTTACTTGAAAAACCTCCATTAAGCCATATAGTATCATTGTAGGTTGTCAATCGACTGGCAGTGTTTTTTTCTTTCATTTTAGCAAACGACGATCCGTTCGACAATTCATAAAATCGTTTTTCATAGAACTTAACTAGTTATCCACCACTCTACAACTGAACTTTTATTTATATCAATATAATTTCGGACTTATGATGGTATAGATGCGTTCACATAGCCGATTAAGGAATTTGTAGATAGTTGAAAACATAGTTGACCATTTCTGATTAACGCAATTTTAGTGATGCAAAGGACTTGAAAGTAAGGTATAGGCATTGAAATAAAAAAATCAACCACTACCAATATGTCAGCGCGTTCAATGAAGCTAAAAAGCCTGGGGACCCTCTGGAGGGCTACTGTTGGTCCTAGGCCGGGTATCGGGAGAGTTGAGCATATGGTTATCAGCCTCATCTCGCTCAGGAATACTAATAAGAAGAAATCAACTAAACTCAGCTCTTGGAATCGAAAGGTTGTTGAACAGAATAGTTATAACGCCTTGTTGCGAAATCCAAGATTTTTCGAAAGATACCAGTTTGATGCCATTTCTGACAACCAAGGTGACAATAAACACGTGTACGTGAGAAACCTGGATGGTCACGTAAATAGTTGCAGAACCGATAAAATACAGCCTGGTTATGCTCGTAATCAGTGAGACCCACCAGACCTAATCCGGGCAAAAAAAGACTAACATCAGGAGAGCTGTTATTGTATTCTGGTTATGGGAAACAACATATTCCACACAAGCAAGAAGTTGAGCTGATGGTATCCAGCGGAGCATGATGCATGGACAACACTGAGTGTGGAATACATCACCGGGCGGTATGAACTGGTACAAAGAAACAGGAATGGTATACCCACGTTTTGCCAAAAACATGTTCGTAGGCAGCAGCATTTTTCCGCACAAATGCGTACAAAGATCTACATAGACTTCTCAGAGCAGTATAAACAATTACAAAACCCCAAAATCGCATTTCTATATCGTCATTACGAACCTTTGATATCCTCCAATAGACCCTAAAATTGAACAAAACTCAGATCCTATAGTGAGGTTGTGCGTCAATACGTATATTATTACCAATATCATTAAGTAGATGCTCAATTTAGAGACCGGCAAGCTGACTTTCATAAAGATAGATGATGCGCCAACGAAATCGCGACGCTATGGATCATTGTTGACTTTCATTTGACGAAAGTCATTCCTGTGCATCAATTTTCTTGATTATGAGAAAGCACTCGATAGTGTGGATAGGGGAACCCTATGTAATACCTAAGAAAATCGTCACCACCACATGAATTTCTTACGACAGATCAAAATTACAAAGTCATGTATAAATGGCAGATCATGGATGAATTCCAAGTGCGGTCTGATGTCAAACAAGACTTTCCACATTCACCTCTCTTTCCACCAGTTGTTGACTGGTCTATGAAGACCTTTACATCTTAGGAAAAGCATGGAATACAGTACGCAGTCGAATGATTTAAAATTTTTAGATGACCTGATCTTGCTACCGAATACACAGCAAAAAATCCGAACGGACATTACCAGTGTAGCAGGAACTTCGTCCGAAGTAGGCCTCGACATTCACAGGGGAAAAAATAGTCCTGAAACACAATACGGCGTGTGCCACCCGAGTCTCGTTTAATGGCTAAGCTCTCGAAGTGAGAGGACTAAGATACCTGGGCAGCATAATCGACAAACAAGGAGAATCTGATACATATATAAAGGCATAAATCGAACGAGCAAGTGTAGCATTCCTATGATTGAAAATTATCTGGAACTCAACAACACTGTTAGTCAAGACTAAAGTCAAGATTTTCAACATTAACGTCAAGTCAGCTCTATTGTACGGAGCTGAGACTTGGAGAAATGCCGCAACCATTATCGAAAAAGTTTAGGTATTTATAAACAGCTATCTGCGCAAGATACTCCATATTCACTGGTCAGGGTTCATCTGCAATAACCCACGCTAGCAGAAAACAGACCGAATCCTAGTTGAGGGGCCAATGATAAAAAATGTTAGTGGTGGGTAGAATACACTTTACGTAAAACACCGAACTGCACCACAAACCAAACCCTAACTCAGAATTCTCAAATCGAAAGTTGAGACAGACCAGATGATATTTGGCTCCGGGAATCAGAGGCGGATATCAAGACAATGAGTAGGGTTTAGCAACAACTGGAAAGTAGTGGGTTGGAGACACGTGGTTAGCGGACTATGCTCCAAGGACAGTATTAGGCATAAATAGATAAAGTAGTAACAAAGTAACAAAACATTTTCTTGATCATGGACTGTGAGGTTTCTGGGATTTTTTATTACCTAAACTTCACTTTTACTTTTGATGTGTTCGCCATCCACGATTGAAATTGTTTGCTTCGGTTGTGGTCTTACTTAATGTATGGTTAACAGTCCATTGCATTAGGGATATGTGAGTTTGGATAAATTACTACTAATTTCCAAAAACGATTTACTCACTGAACAGTGATTTGCCATTTTTTGTAATATTTCTTTTATTCCCTTAGTTGATTGAGAAGACCCAATTAGTGAACGATATTCAGAGTGTTCGTCCAATCTATTTATCAAAGAAAGTAACGACAACGTTTAAGATTCATAGAAAAACTAAACGTTTGTTCGTCTACATAAGTGAAAATCACTGGAAAAAAAGGACTTTGTGGCTGAACACTAATGTACGATAACAAAAATCTATACAACAGATATTAACAATTGGCCACGCCACGTCCAATAGAAGTAATGCTTAGTGATAAAAATAAAACTTGTTTTTAAGAGTTGGCAAAAATAATGGTCATTTTCCTAGAATTCATTGCTTAGTCTGTTGTATTTAGCACAAAGACGTGACTACACTATGAATAGGGGTGATCTTCCAGTTGTAGTAATTTTTGTTCTTTCGACTCGCCAATAAGAAATAGTTAATGAGTACTTAAAACCAAATTACACTCCTCCCAACATCTATGACTTTGAAAACGAGTTAAAACTGGATAGTGATTTACAGAACTTACACAAAGGTTGTCTTTTGTTGGATGTAGTGTAACTATGGGCGAATACCGAAATTATGTTGTTTTTTAAACACAACAATAACTGTGCTTATAAATGAATATTATAGTAAATTTCATTTCCTTGATAGTGGTATTCAGCCCAATTCAAATGATCAAGCAGAACGATCCATTCCTCGGAAAGGCATTTGTGGTGGGCTTTACTTAGATTTCAATGATTTCTGCCCAATAAACTACAAAAGGGTTTTGGTTAGAATACTACTTAGTCATGTACTGAAACCATATTCAGAAGAGAAAGTTGAAGAATTAATTATAAGTGAGAAGTGTTTAAAGGTTATCACCAAGTATGAGATAGTAAAATAATACAACCATCATCAAAAATGTACAGATATTTATAAACAATTGTCTACGCAAGATACTCAATGTCCGTTGGTCGGATACCATGTGTAACAACCTACTATGGCAAAGAACAAACCAACTTCAAGCTGAAGAGGAAATTAGGGACTCTGGAGTTAGATAGGAAATTCATCGAGGAAACCATCAAAATGCATTACGAAGCAAGCCCTAACTTGAAATCCTGAAAGCGAAAGACCCAGGAACACATTGCATCGGGAATCGAGGGCAGAGATAAAAAAATGACTAATAACCAGAAACAACCGGTAAGAGCCTAGAATAGAGTTGAAGAGACCTAGTCGACGGCCTCGGCTCCACCACGATGGGTAAGAGACGTAAGTAGTTGATGAACAGAATATACATAACACCAATCGACGTTAGAAATTGAACACGAAATGTCGCTGAAAAGAAGCCGAACGAAAAGTATGAAACAACCAACAGCTCGGGGTTTGCAGAAAGATGATTAATCCTACTGTGACATTTCGAGTCATACCTAAGATCTTTCTAGAAACTAGGATTATTACGTTTAAAAAACCATGGCCAGGTGTGTTATTCATGCCAAAATTGATCATAAAATATGTATAAAAACCTATCCCAATATGATATAAACTGAATATCATTTCAGTTTTAAACTTAGTAACTATGATGCTCATCACCATTAGGAATGAGTAAGCAATTACTGAAGCGTCTAAGGACCAGATCCAAAAATATTTTGGCCACATATCGCGACACGTTATGACTCTAGGTCTTAGTAATGTATGAAACAAGCTGCACTCACGCATGATGACATAGTTTAAAGATATGTCCTCTGATGATTTGCATGGATGTTGGGTACTTTTCCACAATGTCCAAATATTCAAAACACATGTCGTAGATACATGGTTGAATTCCTAGGAATAAGGCCGGGTTGTGAAGATGACCCTCTAAAAGGAGGAAAAGTTAAAAGTGAGGCACATAAAAAATATATTGATAAATGATAGGGAAAGCTGATCTAGTTTTTTATTTGTAATTAAAATATTAAATTAGACAACTTTCTACACGTCTAGAATAATCAGTCAGCCATACGCAAAGGAAAACCTGACATGTATGTACACCAGTAAAAGATACTACACCACATTAGCACACCAAAATAATACTACCAAGGAAAATCCCATAGTACTACAGGTGGTAGGAAAAAATAATTTAAAAACTTAGGATCTAAATGAAGGGAAGATGTGAATTCACCTGCGCCATTGAGAACGAATTCGAGCCATATCACCCAAAGTCTCTAAACAGTATTTATAATAATCCCACACTCCCCAATCAGGTTGTGTTGAACTACCTGCAAAGCTCAGTTCAAATGTCGTTGACTTCATGGATTAAAGACACGTTTTGATTGGCCACACTTATCTATTCTCAAACCTAATTTTACAACAGCTATCATAGCGCGTCGACAACTTAAGTGAACGGCGAAACGTGAAGGCACACGTCAATCATTACACTCAACAGATATTCCCGACGGCTGGACGTCAATCTTGTCGTAGAAGAGGAGAAAGAATCCCATAAAATCCATTTTTCGCCTCGTCCAAATCATAATGAAGAGACAACGACGTGTCCATATCTCCCCGAATTTCGTTATCTCATTTAGTTGAACGCACAAGCGCTTATCTACCAGAATCCGGTCCGGGAGGTCCTGTTCTGCTTTTGAACTTAGTGCTGTACCTGAAGGAGCGAGGTCATAGGAAGTACTAGTGGGGTCTCCAGATACACAGGGCAAATCGCCCTGATTGAGTTGTGTTCAGATGGATTACCACACTCAGAGCACTAATGAGTGATGAGGGGATTCGATGGCGAGCAAAAGGATCTCGAGTGCTATTAGAAGTGTGAGAGTAGATGTCACTTCCCAGTCCCCCACCCTATGGAACGATACTTCTTCTTCAGGTACATGGAATAGAGGACAACTGCCTGAGGCTGGCCACTTACGGACTGTCCGCCTGAAGTTCCTAAAGTGTTAGCTACGTGATTAGAAAAGCTTGACTACCGGAGATGAAAAATCATGGGGTAAGGTGAGATGTGAAATTTCTACAGTTGACCTCTTCCGATCCCTTCCTTTCGTCGTGAGGAAGCGGTAACGCTCCATATACTTGCCGCTTGAGAACACGTTGCTGCCGTCATACCTCCGTACAATCGGTAGTACGACCTTGCCCTCGGACCATGAGTTTGTTACTTCATATTTTACCGTCCTCTACCCACCCTGCCTGGCATAGTCAAATCCAAAGGAACAAGTGTTTCAGCCGATTTAGCTCAGTTCAGGTAATTACGGTAGGTAAGTCTGACCATCATGTCATGGTAGCACCTATGCCTATGAGAGTATTTTGTGACTGTTAGGGAAGGAATTTACATGCATGTAAATTCAGCTATATACCAACCCAACGGTCATCAATTCGAGTTTTATTAACTGAGTAACTATCACTGAACACAAAATCATAGTGAAATGATTATTACAATGAAATCCATTGAAAACCAAATAGCTAAATACAAAAAAATATACTGAAAGTTGAACAGAATTCATGGAAAATTACTGAAGTAAACTGAGCTTAAAACACCTTAGATTAAGCCTGGTCTTTCTCATACGTTGTATTTAGAGATATACCATCCCTAAACAATAACCGGAGCTGAAAGACGGACTCGCGAAACCTACATCTAAGACCTGAGATATTCGTAATCTGTTTCTACTTCGTTTTAGCTTTATAAAGGCTATTCATTAGCTAATGATGAAGTCTAACCACAATGCTGTGTCCAAAGTATATTTCAGTACTACAGGTGTATTTGTCTTTCATTCGGTTTCAAACGAATCATTACTCCTTACTCATTTGCCGAATATTGACTCGTTTCTTATTTATTTAACATGATAATACTCCATCTTAGTTGGATTTCAAATTATTTTTGTAACTCGAATTTATGCACTGTTAATTTATGCTTTAGTGTTTGAGACAATGAATATGGAGCTATTCATATTGATTAAAATGAGAAACACGGTACATCAAAATTATTTATTTATTTTAACACATAGATATTGGTACAAGGAGGCACCAAATACATATGCGCCACACAGATCTCATTTGATATGTGTGAGGGCTGTGATACTGCCCGAGTGCCCAGACCGAAGCAGGTGGTTTTCTTAAAGGGCCACACCCCGAGCTGAGATATACTTTTACGTAAGATTACAAACAGCACTAGCCAGAAGAAAGTAATATGTAAAAAAAATTTAGTGTCTGTGAATTCCATTTCAGTAGTTTATCGATTTTTATCATAACGATATACCAGAAACTAGCCCTATGGCGAACTATAGCTTTAAAGAAATAAATTCCAGAAAACGAAATCAATAACATTTTGGATAGACAGAAACCTGCACTCATAACTGCGTCGGCTTTTGTTGAGTCCAAACACAGATGAACATCTGACAAATACTGAATATTTCCGTTGGCAATAACAGGTATTTTTACTGCTTCTCTGAAAAGAAATAAATTATCACATTGAAAAATAGTGAAAGCAAATACAATACACATTTATCACACAGCTAGATTGTACTAAGGACAGATAAATAGCGCATTAGACAAATTTTAGTATATGATATATTTCGATAATGTAATAAGAAGACGGAGATTATCAGAACTATGTGATATATTAGCGCAATACATTTCGAACAATCTGATCACATATATACTTGTTAAGAGCATTTATATATAAAAATAAAAGGTCAACTAGACTCGAAATGAGGTAAGAGGAGATAAGGATAATAATAATAATAATAATAATAATAATAATAATAATAATATTAATAATAATAATAATCTGAACACAATTCAAAACCTAATCACTCTGGATAATAAGTCAATATTACCAGAGTAGGTTTAAGGTAAGAACAAACTGTTTTTGAATACACAAAGGGGGTTTGAATTTTCGTATGGCTAAGGCTTCAATAAACCTTAGTATACGCCCTTGTAAACTTTTATATAATACCACAAAAGCCGAGTTTAGATCAATCTTGTGCCCTGTTTCAATTATGTGTTTAGCAATAGAGGATTTATTATTATTATTATTTATTTAAACACATAAATATTGGTACAAGGGGAGACCAAATATATATGCGCCACAAAAAACAATGATAATTTGAAGAGGAGAAAAAAAAGTAATGAACGTGGGGAATTATAAAATAAAAAAAAGAGAGAGAGAACAATAATGGGGAAAACGGAAAGGGACAATCAGGAGAAATCTTTCAGTTAAGGAAGAAGCAACCACTTTTTATGAAGAAAGTAAAACAAGGTTACAGCAGGATCGCCACTGGCTTCTATTCTGAGCCATATCTGATAACGTCTTTAGCCACTGTGTTACACCATCTCTCGGACCCCAGCCAGGGACTCGTGAAGGTCCAACAGAAGCTAGCCCTTTGCAGCTTTCTTTCATACCACGACACCATGTCACACACTGACCACCTCTCCTCTTTTTCCAACCAGTCCAGCGTCGGCAAATAATGCACGACGTGGAATTCTCTGGGACGACATTCGTGGAACATGTCCAAGCCACCGAAGTCGATGTTTCAAGATGGTGACACCAATTGTATTATCGTCTCTGTGCCCGAAAACACGATGCCGAACCTCTGCATTACTAACATGGTGTTGCCACTGGATGTCAGCAACCCTTCGGAGACAACGATGATCAAACACAGAGAGTCGTCTAACATCCTCAGCTCGGAGAGGCCAGGTTTCACAAGCATAGAGCAGAACTGCTCTCATCGACGCGTTGTAGATCCAACCTTTTACAGCCAGACTAACATCACGAAGGCACCAAAGATGGCCCAGATTGGCATAAGCCACTCTGGCTTTCACTATACGTGCATTGATCTCATCACTCACGCCACCACCTGCACTTATGCAGCTACCCAGATACACGAACTTCTCGACTACTTCTATCTGCTCACCATCCAGAGTGAGTACAGGATTAGAATCCTGCCAGTCTTGTAGAAGTACTTTGCACTTCGAGGGTGCAAAGCACATACCATACCTACGGACACTGATTGCCAACTGATTAACTGCGGATTGCATAGCTTGGGCATTCTCGCACAGTAAGACAATATCATCCGCATACTCAAGGTCCAGAAGTCTTTCTCCAGGCAACAGATCCACACCACCATTACTTACATCCATCAGAGCTGTTTCCAGAATGTCATCGACGGCAAAGTTGAAGAGGAATGGTTAGATTGGGCAACCCTGCCCAACCCCACTGCTTGAATGGAATAATGGAGAAAGGTGGTTGTATGCCCTCACTCTGCCTGAGGTGTTTGTGGATAGGGCTTTTAGGATGTTATTAAACTTCTCAGACACACCCTTCTTCTATAGACAATCCCAGAGAACAGTCCTATCCAACGAATCGAAGGCAGTCCTGATGTCAAGAAACACTACGATTGTTGGCCTTTGATAAGTATGGCGGTGTTCTTATATTTGGCGGAGGGGGAAGATATGATCAATACATCCTCGACCGGAACGAAACCCAGCCTGCTCCTCGCGAGTCAATCCTTCTCGGGTTTTGAACAACCTACGAAGTATAACGGAAGCCAATAGCTTGGACGCAATCGGAAGTAGACTTATTCCCCGATAGTTGTTACACGAACGACGTGAACCCTTTTTAAAGATAGGGACAACTATGGACTCATTCCATGACTTTGGACACATTATCTATTTCCCACACCTTTGTAAACAACGTCGTCAGTCCCTTAGTCAGAAAGTCACCACCATTTTTAAAAAGAGCCGGAGGTAAGTCGTCTGGGCCCAGTGATTTGTAACGTTTCGAGAGTTGGAGTTCCTTGCGGACTTCCGCCTCATTTGGTGGATCAGTCGTCACCGGCCATGGAGGGTAGGACAGTCTGACCGATGTTGCCGGAGCAGCAGGCCAGTTGATCTGCCCTTCGAAAAATTCTGCCCATCGTCCAAGACGTCGATGGATGTTAGTGATTGGCGTTCCGTCATCCTCGCAGATTGTTTCGCTCGCACCAGACTTCTTGCTGCCAGTGGCTCGGATGAGTTGGAAGAGCTTCCGCTAATTACCAGATGCAGCTGCTGCTTCCAGCTCGTTAGCACGCTCCGACCACCAGGCTTCTCGGTCCTTACGCAAGCTTTGCCCGATTTTATTACGTAACATCCTTCGTTTGTGGTCAAACTCACGGTCACCCGGAGTAGACCGACGGGCTTCAATCAGTTGTAAGGAACCAGAAGAAACCCAGTGCTTGTAAGCGGGACGTTTCGCGAACCCACAACAGACTGTACCCGCCATTTTCATGGCGTCATTCAATTGCAACCAATGCTCATCTATACTTTTCGGTGGAATGGTAGCTAGCCTAGAAGCTAGCTCAGTTCGGTACTTACTAGCAACAGAAGTTGCAGCCAGCTTGCTAACATCAATCCATTGGTGGCGGTCACTTCGTTGGCCACTGAAAAGTAAGGTAAAATTGGCGCAGACCAGAGCATGATCAGATTCCAGATAGGTACTCCAAAAGGAGCGGCAGTCTTGTACACAACCACGCCAGCGGTAGCTGATCGCCATGTAGCATTTCGGCGATGACTGTGCCGAAAGTTAGTGCTAGCCAGAAACAGGTTGTGGTCTGTGCACAGTCGCAGTAGACGTTCCCCATTATCTGTCCTGCGACCAACAAGTCCCCATCGGCCACCTAAACGACTCTCTTCTGTGCCTAGACGCCCGACCTGAGCATTCAAGTCTCCGGCTAGTACTACAATATCTGTCGAACGCACTTTCTGGAGAAGAACAGTTAACTGGTAGTAGAACTTGTCCTTGATTGCATCCGGGCTGCAATCTGTCGGGGCATAGGCGGAGATGACGAAAAGACATCGTTTCTCACACCGATTTCTTCTCACTTTGATGGAACTTTCTAATCTAACAGCACATAACCGAATGTTAATGGGGATCCAGTCGATTAGTGCTGCCTCAGCTCTAGCGCTTAGTGCGACACCAACGCCAGCAAGATCAGACGAAGATGCCATAGGGTCCACGGATAAACGCACATAAAACAAGCTTTTTGAAGTGACAGATGGAGAGCGAGTTTGTAGTACTTCACCAGATTCTTGAATACGGGTCTCGGATAAACAACAAACGTCAATATTAAGACTTTCCAAAGACATAGCCAGCCCTATCTGTTGTCCGACTTACATAAGTGTGCGAACGATGAAGGCAGCCAGTTTGAATAGTGCACGTGGTTTCAGAAAAACTGCTTCAGTACTCGTATTCGGTGGTAACATACAACCAGGCAGTGACTCGAGAACGTTTAGATAGAGCCGAATTTTCACCATAGGCGAGCTGCTGTCTATGTCGAAGCGGATACATAAAGTGGGAATAAGAGAGAGTGAATAAATGACGTGGTAAAATAATAATAATAATAATAGTGCGAGTCAATTCATTGTAAATCGGAGCGAAAAGAATATTTTCCATAAGTAAATAGTTCATCATGTTTTAGTGCGTGGGCTGGGATACTGCCCGGGTGCTCAGACCGAAGCAGGTGGTTTTCTTAGGGGGCCACACCCCGAGCCTTTGACCTGAAGGTCTAGTCCACAAGGCAGTGCAGCATCGTGAGGAGATGCAGTCCCATGGAAGCCGGTGACCGAAAATTGGTTCATATGCCATTTGTTCCCGCAGGATACTGGAGCCCATGTGTACCATTGATTTGGGATTCGTTTATAGCGCCGGACATTCGCTTTTCGTCCTCTCATTTTTGTAAACAACAACCTCGCCACGAGAGGGCAGTGAGTAGGACTACCCTGGCAGAGGCTGTATACGCGCGGCCGTGTGAGAGTATTTCGAGAGGGAGGGCGAACCCGCCCCACTCTCGGCCATACCAGGGCAATAGAGGATGATGGATGTTTATCCTCTGCTCTTATTGGGTCACTTGATTGTATTTGTTTTTGCAGCCATTTGGATACATGTTCACTCACCCTAATGTATTTTCCTTGATATTAATATCACTTAAATGATCGACCAGTTCAAAAGAATCCTTTAGAGAATGCTTACATAGATGTCTTCGGATAGGGTCCAATAACTTTGTTAACCATTTAGCCAGGTTATGTGTAGGTGATCTGCACATTGATAGAATTGGACGTAAAGGAATGTTTGGTTTATGAATTTTAGGCAGTCCATATAAATGAGGGTACTCGGAACCCATAGGTTTTATAAATTTAAATTCCTCTTTATTAATAATATTCATGTGTAGTAATTTTTCCAGGTTTGAATTTACTCTTCCCTCTAGTTTGCCAATACCTCCACATTCAACATCAGGCATAAATTTACTTTCATCACAGAGGATGGATAACATCTTACATTATCGAAATTTATAAAAGGGACTAATTGCTTTATATGATATATGCTTATTAGATAAACCCGACCACTGAAAGGTGAATGGAATAAGAGAATTCCTAATGTAAATATTCAACTTCAGACAATGTAATTCGAGATCATTATTTTATATGAAGTATCTGTGGAAACCATTTATGTCAAAATTTCTGCACAACGGATAAAATAAACTTTAGATAAGAAATATGAGGATTGACTTTTTTCGTTTGACCACAAGTGATATTTAACTGACCTAGCAATTTGAAACAGGATGTTACTGACAGCGGTTTATTTGGTGGAAAATCTAATATTTGTTGTAACTCTTAATACTAGCCATTTTATATGTTGTATGTATGTCTGAGTTAACTTGGTTTGCTGAGGATTGTTGGAACTAGAAACAACCAATAAAATAAAGTATGGGTATTTCCAGTCAATAAAAATCAAGGCCACTTATTATATGCCACCAAAATTTAACACAATTTAAAAAAAGACGATTAATGTGAGAAAATTATCTACAGTGAAATATATCTTAAACTATTATATTTAGTATGAAATTAGTTAAGCTTACTTTACTGCCCTAATTTGATTCCAGTCAGCAAGTCCAGTTTTTTGACCCTTCATTTCTCTGGTGCGTCCGTGAACTGTAAGCATAGAAGCCCCCGCAGCTTCGAGAAGTTTTGCATACTGAACAGTTCGCTCAACGTTACTAAAGATTCGAATTTTGCAGGTGACGGGAACATTAAGTTCCAACGAAGCGCGGCTAACTAATAAGTTGACAAATTGGGATATGAAATAAATATTGACTTTTGATAGGAATAAAGTGACATATAAAATACATATAATAAAACCATAGCAATCGCACAACAACAAAAACGATTTAACCTCATAATTTATGTGATCATGAAACGAAGATGACATGTTAACTAACAGTACACTTTTAGTATGAATATTCTACTAGTTCAGTGTTCATTTTTATAATTCGAATTTTCTGCACTGACGCAGTATGGTAACTTGAACAGATGCAAATTTGATTTAGATTCTCAGGTTGCTTATAACTGACGATACGATTTTGAAAAAATACGGAGCAATAAGCGTTTTAATCTTCTGGACAGCATTGTAAAAAAATAGCATTTCATTGATACATATGTATAGATGTTCATTTTAATTTGATACACTTTGTACTTTTATGTTCAATAATTACAGAAATATAAAGTACAACCATAAGGTCAGAAATCATGAATGATACAGCAATATTGTTATATTACTACCGAGAAAAGCAAATGTGTAACTCACTAATTTAGTTATATTTCTTAATAAAAGTAGTCAATCAACTGATGCCGTAAATCGTAAACATACGCAGTCAAACAAATAGCCATATTGGTAGCAGTATTAATATTTTATCAAGATAAAATAATAACTTATGCATTTAGCCTAAGTAAATGGTCTTACTACTTTTGGTCATTATTTATTGAGCACTGCATAGGAACGTAAAATGGTGATTTGAGACAAACAGCAAATTAAATCCAAGAGTTGGTGCAAAATCTCACCGAAAATGAGAGTGGTGATGCAACAGTTTTCCATCATACGAGCCGAGATTACTAAAATCATGTGATATAACAAGCAAAGAATAACGATATTTATAATATCAATAGTTGAAATCATGAGTCAATTGAAGCCAGACCACCGTGGAAAACCTGGAAGCACTGGACGGCCGTTTCGTCCTGGTATGGGACCCCTCAGCAGCGCTCACCCACGATCCCGTCCCCTGCGAGAATCAAACCCAGGACATATCAATCCTGGAGTTCCAGTGACAAGCAGTGACCAGTGGAGTTCGACCAGATCTGTTGTGAGATATCGGCTCACTGAAGACCATAGTGTAAGGTGGCGCAATTCCGTGGATTGGTTGAAGTTAGATATTAACACCGTTGGATGCCGAATCAGTAGTTTCATGGTTAAGCGCTCGAGCGCGAGACTGATAGGTTCGGGGTTCAAATCTCGCGGGGGACGGGATCGTGGATGTGCACTACTGAGGGGACGGAACGGCCGTCCAGTGCTTCCAGGTGGTCTAGCTTCAATTGACTCATGATTTCAACTATTGAAATTATTAAAATCTCCACAAAACACCTTCTGATGATAATTATTATAATTGTCTGACATAAAAAAGCTTTAAAATAATACCAAAACAATAAATAATTGCCACTCTCACTTTGAACGGAAAAAAAACTTTCACTAAGTTGATCACGACTGCTAAAACTAGTAGACGGCAGATAAATAAACCAAGGAATCTGCTACGAAAAATGCAACGACTTAGGTTACTAACAAGCAAAGGAAAGCACAAATGGGACGGAGTTTAAATACGGTGAATTGAGCAATACATGCTATTATGACCTGGTGATCTTTAAACTATGTCATCATGCGTGAGTGCAGCTTGTTTCATACATTACTAAGACCTAGAGTCATAACGTGTCGCGATATGTGGCCAAAATATTTTTGGATCTGGTCCTTAGACGCTTCAGTAATTGCTTACTCATTCCTAATGGTGATGAGCATCATAGTTACTAAGTTTAAAACTGAAATGATATTCAGTTTATATCATATTGGGATAGGTTTTTATACATATTTTATGATCAATTTTGGCATGAATAACACACCTGGCCATGGTTTTTTAAACGTAATAATCCTAGTTTCTAGAAAGATCTTAGGTATGACTCGAAATGTCACAGTAGGATTAATCATCTTTCTGCAAACCCCGAGCTGTTGGTTGTTTCATACTTTTCGTTCGGCTTCTTTTCAGCGACATTTCGTGTTCAATTTCTAACGTCGATTGGTGTTATGTATATTCTGTTCATCAACTACTTACGTCTCTTACCCATCGTGGTGGAGCCGAGGCCGTCGACTAGGTCTCTTCAACTCTATTCTAGGCTCTTACCGGTTGTTTCTGGTTATTAGTCATTTTTTTATCTCTGCCCTCGATTCCCGATGCAATGTGTTCCTGGGTCTTTCGCTTTCAGGATTTCAAGTTAGGGCTTGCTTCGTAATGCATTTTGATGGTTTCCTCGATGAATTTCCTATCTAACTCCAGAGTCCCTAATTTCCTCTTCAGCTTGAAGTTGGTTTGTTCTTTGCCATAGTAGGTTGTTACACATGGTATCCGACCAACGGACATTGAGTATCTTGCGTAGACAATTGTTTATAAATATCTGTACATTTTTGATGATGGTTGTATTATTTTACTATCTCATACTTGGTGATAACCTTTAAACACTTCTCACTTATAATTAATTCTTCAACTTTCTCTTCTGAATATGGTTTCAGTACATGACTAAGTAGTATTCTAACCAAAACCCTTTTGTAGTTTATTGGGCAGAAATCATTGAAATCTAAGTAAAGCCCACCACAATTTTGGCATGAATAACACACCTGGCCACGGTTTTTTAAACGTAATAATCCTAGTTTCTAGAAAGATCTTAGGTATGACTCGAAATGTCACAGTAGGATTAATCATCTTTCTGCAAACCCCGAGCTGTTGGTTGTTTCATACTTTTCGTTCGGCTCATTTTCCACCACATGAAGTTCAGCTTGATGATTAAAAATTCAAGAATATTTTCCAGGAACAACTAAAGGGGTTAATCAGACATGAAAGTGATATCCACCTCGAGATAACTTGACACGATGACCAAACACATGAGCAGTGATATCCAACAGTAACTAAAACCACCAGTTTAAGAAAAATCACTGGATCTCTAGCGTCTACTTAACTGATCGGTTCTCGGTCCCATCAAGCTTTGAAAAAGATAAGGAGAGGCCGCCTGATCGCGGATTGATGAGGAGGATGCGATTGTCGAATGTTGTCTAAAGACGGAACTGCATCGGGGCTAGAACTAATAATAGTAAGTGAAAGGGTAGGGTGCTTCGACCGTCCACTTATCATGGAAGTCTCATTAGTCCCGATGGGCCGATGTCTGACGAAATCTCGGCATGGATTCAAAAGGCTCGACTGGTGTTTGTCAACTTGCGTCGCTTGTGGCGAAGGCGGGACATCCGTTTGCCAACAAAAGTACAAGTTTAGCGTATAATACTTCAATCCATCCAACTTCATAATTGTGAAACGTAGCTATTAAGAGTAGAGGATATTCGTAGGTTACTGTTATTCGATCATAGGTGTCTTCGAAGAATTGCTTGTGTATTTTAGAACCATTGAGTAAGCAGTGCCTCGGTTAAGAATAATGCAGTGGTGACGATGGGAAATTGCTTGACAAGGTAGTAAATCGTTATCAACTGAGGTGGTTGGTACATGCGTTCCGTCACCCAACCACCGTCTACATCAACTGGCTATGTTGTGTTCCTCATTTGCTGTCGGGACGTGAGCTAGGAGTTGCCAAACCCAAACATGACATCTGTCCATGAGGTCAATGGCATCAATATGGAGCATCAAAAATTAGCCCAGTAGTGTTCAAAAGGTTAGTTGGAGCTTAACACGGCTGGATATGGGTAGATATACTTTAGTAATATTTCACTCAAACTAGACCTTACTGTAAATGGTAAAGTGTTATCCAAGTTACATACAGAAGTGGACTTCAGACTCTGGTATTCCTCTAATTTGTCCTTCTCAGAACAAGTATTGAAACAGACCAAGTCTCAACATATGTGTCGCATATTTAGTAACCTCTATAACAGCCAGTCACGTATTTTAGTGTACAAACTATGTGTTCGATTACTTTCAGAATACTGCACGTGTATTTTTTCAGCGTTCGCATGAACGATAAATTAAGGTTGGAATTCATTCAAAGGGGATTTAAACTTTGAATTTTGAGGACTGATCATACTTCGACCTATAAATTCAAATATAATAAATTTGAACTTGACTCTTTATAGAAGCAGAGAATAAAGTGAATTAAACTTTTCCTCAAAGTTCTTACCGAACTGTCTTTCACATTCAATAAAGCAGTTCAATACGCAGAAACTCTTAAATATTGTTTTTATGACCCTTTATCGTTAGTGAAATGACCTCACTCGAAATATCCTCTTCATATGAATTACTTTACCAGTAAATTTTCGAGACAGCAATACTAGTGGATGCTTTGGTGTCCAATTGTGCGAGAACAGCTTCTTTCGAGACAATTCCCTGTTGGGGACGATAGATCCCCAAAAACTCATAGTTTGTAATTTATCTTGTGGAGCTTGTATGCAGATATATACGTGAGCATTCCTTACCACCCACGCACATAGTTGATTGACGAATTTATCGATTAAATGTTTAAATATTTCAATGGCAGTCAATTGACGAACTATCGATTAAATGTTTAAAAGCTCCATGACAATATCGATGAATATATATTTGTATATATACGTTTTAAAATTGTCTTTGTAAAAAGTTTGCTGGTTTTGGGTTGTTGCAGAATATATTTCATTCCAAGCTTGATCTTCTCTCTCTAGATAGCGGGCTGGGACGCGTCAATATATAGCTTACTGGTCGTTGGTCACTGAATCTCGTTCTCATTCGCAAACTACGTGAACCCGTGATCTCTCTCTCTCTCTCTCTCTTTCAAAACCTAACATTCCCTTAACTGTGCATAACGTTTTTCTCGCGTTGTTGTCCAAATTGATGATTTTTGCCTTTTCATGAAGTTGGTATTTTAAGGATCTCATGAGAGACACACCGTTCTATATGGACCGGCGGTAAAAACATACCAAGCTGTTAGACGCGCGTAATTGTCTAGCTCTGCTCGGTTCTGGGTATTTTAGAATGGTCGCCATTTTGCCTTTGACAAGGCGAATACTTAGATCCTTAATAGTTTGTCCGAGGATGTCGAGTGTCGGTTACGGTCTGACATCCCTGAATGTCTGCAATAATGTCATGCTTTTGAGTCGTTCGTAAACAAGGTTCAATAGCACATTATTTGAATTAAAATATACTTCAAACCATGTTTTACTCTGTACGGCATTCTTCACACTCTGTGGAAAGTCAATAATTCACTCTGTTCACCGACCATAAACCTCTCAATTTTATTTTTTATGTCGTCTTCATTCAAGTACTCTACTCGAGAGTCCGACGATTAGACTACATCTTCTAGATAATTGTAGATATACGATATATTTCTGTGTCGAATAATGTAGGCGTATAACTTCACTGAACAGTTCCCAAGAAATTTTCCAGCTTCAAAAGGAAGAGTTTTATTTATTTATTTATTTGACCACATAAATATTGGTACAAAGGGACACCAGAGACATATACGCCACACAAATCTCATTTGATTAGTGTGTGGGCTGGGATACTGCTCCGGTGTCTAAACCGAAGCAGGTGATTTTATTAGAGGGCCACATCTGGAGCCTTCGACTTAAAGGTCTGACCCACAAGGCAGTGGAGCAACATTAGGAGATGCGATCTCATGATGGCCGGTGAGTAATAATTGGTTCCCTTGGGATCCTGGAGCCCATGTGCACCATTGGTTTGGAATCAAGGTTTTTAAATCACATAAGTGTACACGAAGGGCTCACTAAAACTGTTACGACGCCGGACATTCGCTTTTCGCACTCTCAATTTCATAAACAGCACCCGCGCCGCGAAGTAGTGAGTAGGACTTCACTGGCAGTGGCTGTATACGCATGGTCATATGAGAGCGTTTCGAGAGGGAGAGCTGATTCTCTCTACCGCCTGCCGTACCATGGCATTTGGGGGCTATCAACTGAGATGGTTGGTATATGTGTTATGTAGCCCCACCACTAACTTTGACACGCTGACAGCTGTTGTAAGGGTGCACCGTAATATACACACTTGAGCACCTTTGTAAAAAACCACAAAGGCTGACATGTTGCAACTGTGTTTAGCAATAGAGAAAGATAGATATTTATCATCTATTCTTATTTGGTCATTTCATTTTGTTTTTGCAAATACTGTGGCACTTGTTCAGATACACTTATTTGCAAATCCTGATTACTCCCACTTATCTACGTGTGGTCACATACACGTAAGTTCATAACCACAGTGGGATGTGACGCAATCGTTTATAGGCTGTCTAGGTATTCGATTAATGATGAACCTTGTTTTTTCAAATAAATTACTTCTACAACTTTACATGTACTAGTTGGAAATCAATATGGGAAATGGCCGTTCATAAAAGCTTCGGTTAGAACAAACCAACTTCTTTGGTCGATTGTTCATAGATACTGTATCAAAAAGATTCAGGTAGCCTCCTTAAATCTAATGTACATCGTAGTAATTCAAGTTTAGTAGGTATGTTCGAAACCAATTTATCCGAGGTAGTTATTAAGAACTTTAGTTATAAACACGACTAGAAGTTTGCACAATATCCAAATGGTTTTATACTTAACTACATTAATGCTAAATCAAGCTTTAAGGATCTGAATGACAATTATAAACATGAAATACTGCTAATCTTTTCATGAAATAACTAGGCCTTGAGCATATATATCCTTATCAAATAGTCCTTTTTAGACAGAACCCAATATATGAACGAGCAGAGAATAACACCGAGTTTACAAAAAGAATGACCGGATTAGTTGAGAGTAACTTAGTTCAGGCTTAAGGTGTTCAGATTATTTTAACCGACTACGACCTGAACCGATTTTGTAGAGTGAACTATATCTTAAACCATGGAAGCAGCTTTTTGACAACTTAACTGCACTTCTGGCTATTCTGATGACCCAAACCTGATACAATTCATGGTTTTATCGAGAATGATTGAACTTCTAGTGCTAATCCATAGGACGATATGTACTCGGCGTACAGGTGGTTGCACTGTTAAATCGTCACACATCACCATTCTGTCAACCTTCGAAAAATCACAAGGGTTGTAAGGAACCTATAACGCAAACGTTTGTGGTCTGATAAAGAATATGGAAATTAGTACGCACACAGATTAACTTCCATACCAGAAATTCTATGGAAATGAGCATAAAAAATGTCCTATGACGTACTCCAAATACGCTGTATAAAACTAAGTGTATATTGATTTTTATAGGACGATTTCCGAATGAACTTGTCGTCACAGACTGATACGTGCCATGATATTCGCAAGAATAACTGCACATAACGTTATGCAGTAGGTTGTCTAAGATATTTAGGAACCGTGGGAAAACATGTGGATTGACATAAATGTCAAGTCGCCTTATGACGTGTACATTTCGAGTACTATAAACTCGTTCGATAGTACTGAAAATCCCACGATTTACTTAATATAACGTACAATTTTATAAGCCGAATGATAAGATGAAAATGTCTTCCAAAATGTAAAGTAACTGAAAGGCATTGCACACTAACGTGCGCTCTGTAGAACACATTCGACATCCAGGGTTATAAAAACACATAAGTCGTTCTGATGAGTTTTCCGGCTAGAATTTTACTCCAGTCATTTAACAATTATGGGGCTTATCTTAGTAACGTTAATTACCATTTAAAAAACATGTTTCTGAATTGGACTTACCTATCTCCTTGAGAGAATTCCACTCATCTTGTAAAAACGCACCATAATGCCCTCTTTTAGCAATTCCTTGAGGGCAACCGAGATTCAGGTCGACTGCGTCGCAAAAGGGCTGCACTAATTTAGCACACCTAACAAATGTATCTGCAGAATTAGCACAAAACTTGAAACGAAAGTAATAATTTTTTCGGACATGCGCACTTGAACAATAAGTGGTCGGTCTTCTGAGGCGAACTGCAAGCAACTTCGGCGGTATTTCATGTTAACGAGAAATGCAGTCGAGTTAATCATGGGTGTGAAAGTTAGTTGAACTCCATATTTACGACCGAGCATCCTCCAGGCAAGTTCGCTGCCATCAACCATAGGTGCTAAAACGTATTTAGGTGAATCCCAACTATCGAGGAGACTCATTAAGGTTAAACAAATAAGACGGCACAACTTCTGGCCTCTGTAGAGTGTGTTTGTCCTGGAGGTCCACCGACTTGAAGTTACGAGGATGATCGACACAAATTAGCGACGACACGAGCAAAAGACAAACTGATTACCTAAAATAGGAGGATGTCACGACACGATCGAAAAGATCAGGTCAAAACTGCCTCCACGACCTTGAGCGGCTTAGCTCTAAGCGGGCATAAGGTATTTGAAGTGCTCGGGGTTAGGTGGGGTCAAATGGTTCAAATGGTTGTGGACGGAATAGAAGAGTTCGCTTAACAGGCTTCTGCATCTAGTAGCACTGGATCACCAATACCTCCAGGAAGGAACCTGGGTATATTAACGATAATAGAGTAAAAATTAATTGGTAAATCATTGTAAGATATTATCCCCAGCCCTTATGAATACGTCACGTTACCTCTAAAAGGACTCCTGGGAAGTCGCTTGGACTAGCTCAGCCGGCAGTGGAGTCCAGCGCTGGACAACTCTTAAGGAGTAGAAGTTGTATCTACGGTCAGTTCTGCTGTGTTGTGTCTCAAGTTTCTGGGTGTTACCCCTTAGGTTTGTGTTGGAACTAAACTTAAATAGGTGTTTAAGGGGATTTCCAGAAGTGTTGAGGATACTGTAAGCCATTAGAAGGTCACGTCTAAGACGCCTATACTCCAATGAGTAAACTTTTAGTGATTGGAGGCGCTCTTCATAAGGCTTGAATTTGAGTCCCTGAACCGATTTCGTGGCTCGCCGTTGGATACGCTTCACAGTGTTCTTATCCTTCGGAAGGGAGAGAAGAAACACTATGTTTCCGTATTCTAAATGAAGACGAATAAAATTTTGAAGATTACGTGGAAAGTTCTGCCGTCAAACTGGCCAAAAATGCGCTTCAATGTTACCAGTGCAAGATTTGCTCGAAAGACATTTTTGTCACAGTTAGCGTAAGACTTCAAATCGTGGGGTGCCAGCACTACTAAATATTTTTGAACTTGGGAAACGTCTAGAGAGGAGTTTCTCAAGTTGTAACTGTGGTCTGAAACATGGCTTAGATAGACTTCGTAATGTTAGAGGTAAGTTCATTGTTATCTGCCCAACTTTGAAGTCCATTCAGATCTTCCTGAAGTGCCAGTATATCCTCTCGGTTGCTAAACTCTCTCTCCAAAGTTTCACATCATCAGCAAAAAGTAATAAGCCAGATGATACCTGTTGTGGAAGATCGTTTATATAAATCAAGAAGAGAAGAAATCCTAGTACTGAACCCTGGAGGACCCCACTAGGACATTCCATAGCCTGAGAGACAGTGAAGTTAATCCTGAGCTTAAAGTGTCGATTTTTTAGGTATGAAGTGAGCCAGTCAATTAGAGGTGACTTGATACCCAATCGTTTGAACTTGTTGATAAGAAATACATGGTTGACCCTGTCAAAAGCTTTTGAGAAGTCATGGTAAATGACGTGAACCTTCCCCTTGCGATCAAGGATGGTTGTCCATCTGTCCACCGCAGTCAGTAGGTTGATCACACAAGAATGACTTTCCCTGAAACCATGCTGTTGGAGTAGAAAGAAGTTTAAGGATAATAAATAGCCGTGTATACCGTCGCATATCAGGGACTCCACAATTTTTGAAGGTATAGAGAGAAGGGCCACCGGTCGGTAGCCCGAGAGTTCGCCGAGTCGTCCACCTTTGAAATTTGTTGTGATGTGAGCCAGCTCTCAAATTTCCGGTAGTTTGCCTCAGCTTAGAGAATGTGGGAACATCACGCTAAGCGGTGTTGCCAGGATTGGAGCTGCTTCCTTCAGTATAGCAGAATGAACCATATCCGGGCCAGAAGAAGTGTCTTTTCTTAGGTGCCGCAGTTTCCTGTGAGCCAAGTCAGCGCTCATGTTCACTTCGGAAAGTCCTGTGCAGTTGCGGACGAAGCTCTCATAAATATAGTTAATGTGTGTCGTTTGAAATGTCCGAGGGTATTGTTCAGCCAAAAATTTGTGTGTTAACTTGTATGAGTCCGTGGCTTCCACGTAATTGAATAATCTGTTGATGTCTGGAACCCCGAAGAATGTTATTTATAATCGTTTCAAGTGTTCTACTTTTTTTTCTTCGTGCAAACATTGGATTTATTTTTCAGACATTGATCGTTGGAACTCTTCCATTATACACACTTCGCTGAGGATCACATTAGATTTCAAAAATTGGGTAATATCATCATATACATTAACATGCAATTCTAAGGACTGTTGGTAAGGAAGTTTAATCACGAGTGATCAAGCCTCCAACTCCTGAAATTTTTCGGTCGGTATAATTGAACGGGTTGAACGACCGATTCCGAATTAACTTTCCTCTTTTATGGTTGACTGCCAGGAGGCAGCGAATGGAGTTCGGCGCATACGATAAGCGTAGTTTTTTCCTTTGTAGACAACGTACGCTCTTTATATGCAAGTGGAGAGATGTAATCATGCGCCTCCTTATACTCAACAGAGAGGTAAGAACTAGGTTTCTTTAGTGGTGTGCAAGTTCAGACTTCCTCACGACATCGATATGTATTATAAATAAAACATATGTTGACCGGGGATATTCTGTATCTAAACATTTTACCACTATTGGCTAGTAGCGATCAACTTGTTTTGTAATTCATATCCAGGGCTTGTGACATAATATACGATTAGGTTAGACCTCGTCCAAATTTGCGGAGAAATTGCATAATAGTCATAGAGGATTGTATTGCAACGAAAAACTGGTCAGTAAGTAGTAGCTTATAAATTGAAGAAGCATGGCCCATATTTAAAGGTAATCTGAGCTTGATTATGTTCTCGTTTTTATCATACTTAATACCACGTAGGCCCAATGAACTACCCACCGTGGATAACCAAAGTGGCCGAGAAACATCTTAGAAATAGAGAAAAAAATGGAGTATTATTCTGCACATACTTTGAACAGTATTGATACACTAATTGCAAGGCTAGGGATGCTTGTGAACAACTAAAGTGTATGATGTATTTACTTATTTGAACGACAGGTCAGCTAACAAAATGTACTTGAATGTAACCACCTGGTAGCGAACAATACTGTTTGTTCTGCAATGAAGTGCGATTAATATACATATAAGAAAGGTTGACCAACAATGTTTTTTATCGCTTTGATGTATGACTAAGCTGATAAGCCTGATAAAGGAAGATTTAAAAACCTCGAAAATTTGGCGAATAAACAAAATCGCCAAAGTAGCTATGGTAAAATTAAAAAATTAAGCATATGATTCACAAAAGTTTACGCCGAAATTTCTTCATATCGCCGATGAAGCCTCACAAAACACCTCGAAAACCCTGGACTTAGCTTGAAGTCATACCTATTTGTACATAGGAGAGAAGTGATCAACATTAAACTTGACTGTACTTTTTTTCCCAGAACGTAGGAAAAACATATTTTCATATGTTTTAGACTACTCACACTTGAGTTAGTGGTAGCTGATAACTTCAGCAGCTGTTGTTCGACTTTTTACACAAGGGCACGGATGGAGAGGAGTCTCGATGCTATTTGAATATTAGGTCGTCTACAGGTTTGGTAATATTCGTGCACTGGCTGCTGAACGGAACGTCACCAGTTGTTATTAGCAAATCGGAAGTAACTAAGGAAGAAAATTGCCTCATAAAGTCATGAACAATAGATTGTCACCTCATCCTGTGTATACTTTCATAGTCACAAACGCAGTGCTGGAAACTGTCCTTGGTAAATTCCCTGGCTTGCCGTTAGTGATATTTAATATCACGTTATATTGTATCTGAGTTTGTGAGATTATTTTTCCCTATTTACCTATTCTGATATGTAATTAAACTATTGCCTCTAAATAATATTTATTTTGTGTCATAGTTGTAGAAATGCAGAAAAATCGAAAGATACTGCTCCCCGTACGTAGGTACAGGCGTTCTGCGTTAAGTGGATTATTGAGCGAATTATTTTAATTGATGGGTGCTATAACAATCAACAGTACGTGTATCCAGGCACTTCATTGGCTTCATGATATTTGTAAAAACAAGTGACCGATGGCAACGGATACAGTTATACTCAAATGTGGGATAAGGCAAAGTACATACAATTAATATTAAATCTAGTTGTCCTCCATTCTCATATCGCTCTCTAATATATCCCCCTGTTTACAGAAAATATCGACTTTTTTTAATGGTCAACAGTGATTGCTAGAGTGATCTCAGCTGAACTTGAAGTTGGTATATGGCAAGAGTTTCATATAATGAAATTTGCAGTGATGGTCCAGCCCAAACTATTATTTCCTTGTGTCTGCAGGTAGACATTCGTTCACGTGTTGATGCGACGAGCTTCACTCACTGATGAGTTGATGAGAGTTGATAGACGTCCAAAAAGTTACTTATTCTGGGCTCGCAGGCTTCTTTGAAATATCCTCCTAAATTCTCTGTTTTGAAAGGCAAGGTGAACTAGTGCATGCCAGAAAAAAAGCATGAATTGTTTTAAAAAAGTGCAGTGAAGTTGCTATTGATCCTTCTGCGCGACAAAGAAATTAATTCGAGTATACCAGTCTCTAGTCATACGGCAGGTTTGCGGCCTAAATAATCGAACTAGTTGGATTTCTTTGAATTTTTTAGTAAACTACACTAACGTAGGAAGGACGAGCAACGAATTCAAAGTTAAATACGCTTCAGAATCGACACTGCTAAAAGCTTTCTATCAAATACCTCAATATTATTCACCATTTGTATTTATATATATGTCATTTGGTGGCAATTATAAAAAATAATGCACATTGAAGCATTTATTGGTTACTGCAAAATCGTAGACTTGATATTGTTTCCGTAAATCTTTTTGCAGATTTAAACTACAATCTCTTTCATATGTGCCTTCCTAAGTTTTTTGTTATCACCCTTACCTAGGAGTACAATTTAATAGTTAGCTCTGAAAAAATAATGAGATTTTTCACTGACATACTGCACTGGAGGAGATAACTCGCATGCCATATTCGATTTTCCATGTGAAGAACCACTTATTGACAGAAATTCTTCTTACAATCCTCGGTGATATTGACAAAATGTGCATTCCAGCTACTTATCTTGATCGTAAATGGCAGATATGATCATCTACAACCTGAACCATATAAAATTCCTGAGCTTCTATAGGGCTTAATGCTCATCGGTACTGTTTGCTAGTCCTAGTCAAATAGTAATTCATTAGAGCTTTTCTAGGTT